CAATTACCTTAAAGCAAGGCTAATATTCCACATAATTTACATGTGTATATACCTATAAGTGCATATACTTGCTTTAATACTACCAACAAACCGAACAACCATCCGAACACTTAAATGACCGATTGTACCAGCAACAACGTCGCCTTATGCATGAACCTCAAGCTTAACAAAAACCGTGTTACAGATACAGAAATTTGCGATTATTTTTTTTTTCATACATAAACCAACTTAAACGGCAGAAGCCGCCAGAAATCAACCCACGAAGCTTAGCTGGTAGGCCTACAAAACTGCTTGACAACCAACGAATCGACAACCATAAGAAAACTTACTACAGCAAATTGACCGATTGCCATACCTACAGACATAAATATAAATTTAAATGATCACGCTTGTGTGTACATGTATATGGACATAAATAATTCCGGTACATATGTATTTGTATTGTACATACCAACATACATATAAGGCGCGACGTACTGTCAATGACTGATTTCGTTTAAGGTCAACCTGCATCACCAACGGCAACAAATGACCAATTTTGTTGTACTTAAATTTTTGTTGTATTTTTTAAATTATTTGTTTTATTGTTTTTTGTATCTGAACATTCAGCAGACGAGACAGTTAAGCATAGTTTCGAGTGCAGCAATTTAGAACTCGCCTTTTTGAAATTAAACGTTGTCCAGATCACTACCATCCAATTCTGCCCATAAAAAATTATTAATCATCTCCAGATAGCAGAGTCCATTCATTTCTAAAGAAGTAAGGTTCAATAACCCCACCGGACCATGAACATCTACGCGTTGAGAAGATGGAGAAGCTTTTCCGTGCTTCAGATTCGAGAGTTTTGCTTATTGACGTAGCCCACGGTGTGGAAAAGAGCCTCATCAGTTAAAATGATTTTTCTATAAAATTTATAGTGTATTTTAATAATATCCGTGCATTGCTGAAGCGTGTGTGGTTCTATTTTTTTTATTATTCCGGAGGCTACTCAAAATTACACATCTTATTGGAACACTCAAGGCGAATTTGTAGAAGGTGAACTTGTCACATCATATGATTGCTTGTTCTTCCTTTTATTTCAACAAATTACACAAACCAAATACGTGAGCAATAAGTTTTGATATTGCGAACTTTTAATTACACCAACAAAATAGATCGAACGAATTTCGTTTTTGACTTTTCGAAACTACGATTACATAAACAAAATACATAAGTTATTTGTTTTAGTATTCTTGCTACTCCCGTATGTATATTTGCCTTTGGAAAACCCTTCAAATGCAATGTAAATATTGCCGTTGATTTAAAATTTCAAGTTCAAACCATCGCACAGTGGGGTAAATGGTGCTAAAAATGAAGATTAATTTCCACAAGATTTCTAATTACTGAATGGTTATTATTTTTTTTAGTTAATTTATCATAAAGAAGTAAAAATAATAATGTCATTAGAGTTATTTGAAGGATTTTTTTAAATCGTAAAAGACAAAACTATGGTGAAGATCGGCTTTCAAAAATGTGTATTTATTTAAGCTTCAAACTTCATTTAAAATATCTAAACTTCTTCTTTACCACCATAATCATATTCATGCTCATAATAATCTTCGTTTTAATTGTCATCTTCGCTTTCATTTTGATTGTCACTCTCCATCACGATCATCTCTAAGGTTTTTCCGATAAATTCTGCACATTTTTTGTAGTAATTTTCTTCTGGTAGATATAACGGGGTCAGAACTGATTAAAAGTCTATTGAATATTTCTTCATTTGCTTTTTTCCTGCAGCATTTGCGAAATGGATGAAGTGTTGGAGGCATGTTATACCGAGGATAACAATTCAGAAAATATTTTCCTGCATCAATATCGTGCGCACTTTACATAATTTTGCATCTCTTTAATCGAATATATATCAACTTTATTAATTGCTGCTGACATCCCGGGATTTTTAAAGAAACGCCTGGAAGTATTGCCAACATTAGGATTCCCAAAGGCAGATTCAGACCAATTTTAACTTTAAATCTTTTTTAATGCGTACGTTATTTTCTCGCTTACTGTTCGAACTTGCCACTTTTCTACGAAAAATTTATATGATAAGTGGAGCAGATATTCAGAATTTTCTGTTTTTACATCTTTTTTCACCTTTTCATCAATTTTATTAAAATCTTTCAAGTTAGCTCTAAATAAATAATATTGTTGTATATATGTTGTTTCTGTTAATGCGTCATATATTTTTCCATCAAGCTTACATAAAATAAATTGTGTTTAACCTCCAAATATTTATTTCCATAAGGAAAAATCAAGAGATTTTTTATTTCTAATCCCTTAAGAAATTCGTGTATATTTGGCCACGCAGTTCGCGTAAAGGAATGAATATACTAGGAAATTAAGCAAAATTGGCGCAAATTTTTTTTCTGCAAACAGAAACTGCAAGAGCCATAGGCTTTGGAAATGAAACAAAGTTTGCTTTACCCCTCTTAACTCACAACTACATGGTCGAAAACCCCACATTTTAAAGCTTTATTTACAGACACGTATCAAATAAATGAAATCACTTTGAATTTACTAAATTACCTGAGCAAGACGATTTTCCTTGTTAAAAAAAATAAATAGTTTTGATAAATTGAAAACAATTACCTATAGCACAGTGTGTACACCAAAAGAAATAAACTGGTAACTTTCAGAGAATATTGCAAAAAACCTGTACAATTTTTGCAAATATTTCTTCAGCCAGTGATGGAGGACATCATGTCCTTTCGTTGGTACCAAAAATTCACTTGTACCTTGAATTTTGAGCATGACTCGTTCCGCTTAAGACCTGAGAAGCTGCGGTATATACAAATCAAAACATTTAACATATGCATTTATAGGCTTGAACGCAAGCCTCCTTTTCAGAATTTTTGTTTTGCGACTTGAGATGGGTTAATTTTGCCTATACCGATTAGCTCAAACCTTTTCATGAACATTTGTATTCGTATACTAAATCTGTCTGCAATCGTTACAAAAAAAAAATAGTTAAAACGAAATAGCCCATTAACTCGGAATGGACTGCTAATCATTTATAGCTTTTTGTAAGACTCAGGTACCTCTCTTATTCATAAGTGCAATTCAGTAACTTTTATCTTTGTGATACGCTAATTTTTTACAATAATCGACAACTGACATTTCCTTTTTAGTTATTAAAATATACGAAAGAAGAGAAAGAAACGACTAAAATTCCCAAAAATTCATGTTAGTAATTATTTTTTTTAATGAGTAGCAATGGATTACAAAGTTAACTAAATCAAAAATAAAATTGTGGTTTCCACTTTTAAAACTGAAACGTGTTACTGAGTACTTGGCGTTTACCGTCAAAATTTTTATATAAGGATTATACATCTATACATAAATAATGGGTGATCCAAGTAGAGGTACCTTTTTCAACAGCCTTTTTTGACAGATAACGCGTGAGTGGTCTAAAGCTGTCATAATATTTTTGTTCAGTATTTTTGGCGTTTCGCTCAACTTATGGTCAAAATAATCGGCCCACTGGGCGTACTACTCGCAACACCATCAATCATCGCGAATAGACACGAGGTGAAGAAAATATAGTGGCCGTAGCTGAGAGTGTACACAAAGACCATGGAGAGTCGATACGGTACCGTTCGCAGCAACTCGGACTAAGTATGAAACACTTGGCGCATTTTACATCGAGATCTTAAAATGAAAGCGCTCAAAAACAGCGCTCCGACGATTTCGAGCCAAATTTTTTTCAGCGAAGGAACCCACAGATTGCAAAGAAGGAAAATTTTCCGCCGGTGGGAACGCAATCGGTGCTACTTTCCACACATCGTATCAACCAATGGAGTTATTGAGAGAACACTTCGGTGGGAAGATAATTTCACGTTTCGGACCGGTCGATTTAGTACCAAAATCGTATGACATCACACCGTTAGACTGTGTCAAGCCCGCTTCGGGTCAGGGTTTGGAGCAAAACATTAAGCGTGTCATTCGCTAGTTACCAGTCGAAATGCTCGAACGAGTCATCCAAAATTGGACTCAAGGCATGAACCAATATATTGTCGATGACGCTAACAACTTCAATATACTCGTCGCTTTGTTAACGATTTGTCGAGTAGTTTACGACATCAGCTTATCAAGCGATAGCACATGTCGACAAAATTAGCGCTAAGATTTTTTAACCATCCGAAAATCGCTATAATTCAATAGAGAATCCTACCACAGGTGGGGTTGGCTAGCTACGGCTGACAAGGTGATAGTAAAAGAGCTTATATGACGTTTTTTTATATATAATATATATTTTTGTGTTAGTATTTCCACTTTGCCTTTGATAGTGCGTTTTCAGTCTGATTAATTATTTGATCAAAGTGTAGTATTTTCCGGCACCCCACCTAAATTTCGACAACAAGCATTTATTTGACAGTACGCTACCATATACCTGTGTAAATTATCACAAAAAAGTCAGTGTAATGTGAGTTGCGATTTTATTGTGTTTTGTGATTCAATTTTAGGTTTAATCAAAAGTTTGTACTAATATAAATACTGACTTGGTCCTCTGCAAGTCGCTACAACAAAGCAGTTTTCGAATTGTAGAAGAAATCCAATGCAAACATTGCTTGTTTGCATAAAACATTGCTTCTTTGCATAAAAAAATAGCTCAGAGAGCAGGCACCTATTACCTACCATAAGAAACATGGACGGCAAGCAACACTAGCCAACCATTACTTAGACGCGCCAAGACATAAAAACTTAACCATGTGACGATGATCTGGACTTCTGGCTCATCTATCTGGACCACCTGGAATGTATATTAACAGCTTTGAACTCCATCGAATGCAACACATTTGAAATGCGCTGGCATACGTGCCAGCTACTTCAGTAGAATTTGTGTTAGTACAGGGTTAGCCATTTCATGGATTCAAAAGTATATGATTGTATTTTGACATCTGTCAAACTTAACTTTCAAACCAAATATATACTTTGTTTTAGCTAAAACTCTAGCAATAATGAAAATGGATCGCTTAATAACCGCACAATGCGTAAAAATCGTTAACACCTACTACAAAAAAGGTTTCGAGGGTAAAAGTTTGAAGAAATTTGAAGATACTGGATCGGCTACAGACATGGTAAGGCTTAGCCAAATACCGTAATATGGCTATTTCTTGACGGTCTAAAGAGCTGGTACTTTCCTACGGCACATTTTTGCGTATTTTGCATTTAGACTTACAACTACATCCATACAAACTCCAGCTTACACAACAGCTCATCATTGGCAACGCCGTTCATACATCGACTGGGTGCTTGAACAACGCAGTAGGCAGTGATTTTTTGTATAAAATTTTCTTCAACGACGAGGCACATTTCTTACTCGGGAGATACGTAAGTAAGCAAAAATAGCGCACGTGGGGCTCCCAGAACCGTCAAATGATTGAAGAGAGGCCAGTACAACCAAAAAAAAAAAACTTACTACCTGGTGTGCTTTTTGGTCCGGAGGTGTGACTGTGTTTTACTTCTTTGAAAACGACAATGACCAGGCTGTCACTGCCAGTTCAGAGCACTATGGCCGCATGATAATTTTTGGTCTAATATTTAACTTGGACAATACGTAATTTCACCAAAATGGTGCCACAGAACACAAGCAAATATCACACCATTGCCTTAAAGATTTCTTGGTCGGATTATCGGTTGTCTAGGCGATGTCAACTGTCCACCGTGATCGTGCGATTTGATGTTATTAAAGTAGTTTATGGGGCTACGCCAAAGACCCTGTTTATGCGGTTAAATATTTCACACTTAAGCACTTGGAAACTAACATTCCTTAAGTTATGGCTGAGATACCGCTTAGTTTGTCGAAAATTATTTAAAATCGAATGAAGTTTGCAAACATTCGAGAGGTGGCCATATGAGGGATACATATTATTTATAATTATTTCATTATTTTTTTTTAAGAAAGGAACTTTATGAAAAAAAATATTTTAAATATTTATTTACGTTTGTTTTCGAAACTTCGAAAATCTATAACCACCATATATCAACTTGGAAAATATTCGAAAAAAAATTTTTGCACTGCCCTTATAAGTTTTTGTATACCTGCAATGTAGGCTGGTTTAAAGTTTACAATATATAGCAAACATAACGATTTCGGTAAAGTTCGGCGCTCAGTTGTGCCACTAAAGATAAATAAATATTTGTTTAGTTTTTTAGCGTTGTTAATACGTTGGTTATAAATTAATACTCAAATTAAATTGGACATAATATGTTGACGGTTACTGTATGTTGATTTGTAAGTGTGGTAGCACGTTTAGTTAGTTGTTCTGGGAAACTATGAAACAAGTTCAATCAACCACGGAATAATTAATGCGCTGTCTTTTGTACTCGTATTTCTGTTTGCCTGTTAAAACTCTCCCTCATTGTTCCGCATTTCGTTCACTTAAGTCTGGGAATACCAAAAGCCCTGTGGTGATTTCTAAAACTCTTACGATTCTTTCTAAATTCCTACTAGGTGAATATACGAATTTTCAATAAACTTACTGTTAAAATCTTTCCAAAGTTCAATGAGCTTGTCAAAGTATATATAACATAACATGGAAGAAATACAAAGTTTTTTGGATAGAATTTAATTGCTGAAGTTTTCATAAATGAAATAAATTAATTATTCCCTCTAATTTGCTTTGAGAATTAAATTTCCTCTATATTTTTATAAAGGTGTTGTGAAACTACAAACTACAGATAGCAGACTAGCCTTCTTTTGCGCTTTCGCTTTCAGTAAATCTAGGAAACATATCATTTGCCGTTGAACAGGCTATCATCGTTAAGTAGTAGGGGCCCTTGAAACAGCATTCAAAACTAAATAGTTTGACTTTGCTTTCTTTGTTTCTTGCCTTCAGCGCACGTGTTGGGGTTTCTGTGTCATCAACAGCACGCTTAGCAACACGCCCGTTTTCTTTGTTGTTGATATTTATAGTATTTGTTTGTGGAGACATACTTACCTGCGAGTATTATTGTGTATTAATGATGGAGCAGCAATATTGCTTTAGTAAGCGATCTACAACTTTAGGTACGCACACCAAAAACCAAACCTTACAGTTCCCTCTTTTTTGTTTGTATTTTGAGTCAACCTATATTTTGTGTTAAATTGATTTCATATTTAGTTATCTCTACTAATACTTCTGAGCTCCCAAACATGTTGATGATATGCTTGTCAATCCAAATTTTAAAAAAATTGTTGTCTTGTACAATTGTACATGCACAGCTGCATAGGATGAGTCATCTAACGCTTTTATTCTGAACTACAAGGTTTTGAGCTTTCACATTTTCACTGACCTTCGCGATATGCCAAGCATTTTGTGTAATACTAACTGTTTAAGAAAAGGCTAAGTTTATGCTTGAAGACGTTTGAAAAGTATTGCAAAGTAAATTCCAAAGTCGAGACTCCTTGCCGGAAATTACAAACGAAATTCGGTCGAATATTTACCCTTCCAAGTAGTTTATGGACCAATTTGTGTAGCGAGCTCGTCAACCCGGTTCGTTAGAAGTGTGCTGGAAATATCGTCAACATTAACTCGAAATCGTTCGAAGGAATTAAACATTATAGGCCTGAAAGCTTATCAAATCTAAATCTAGTGATCTGCTTTGCTCAATGAGCTGAATATCGTCTAATTAAGCATAATTTCAACTCAGTTATTACGCTAACAAGCATTTAAACTGGCGGTATAATTGAAGCTGTCGCTACCATAGAAGCCTATAATTACTGAGTTACAGTCAGAGCTTATATGTTTCCAAAGAAGTGGTCGCCTTTTAGTTGGATTATTTTTAATAGAAAGTCATTAAGGATAAATGCTGCGCAAAAAGGGCTTGAAGTCGTCATAAAAGACCATATGTGTTGACGTTGAGTCGACATTTAGAGACTCTTAAGTACGCTCAAAGCTTTCGTACAAAACATACTTGTTCCCGTGGACCAATATTTTCGTCGGGCTTGCGCATAAATCAAATAAATGTTAAAAAATCTTGGCTTATATAACTCTTTTTTTTTTAAAGTTCTACACCAAATTTCTTAAATATATTAGGTAAAATGCAGTAACAGAAAATTTGTTTATAGAAAAATACTGCTTTAAGCGTAGACGGTGCTGGTCCAGTCCAGGGTTATAACTCAAAGCGCGCCAACTCAAAAAGAAGTTTCACTCAAGAATATTGCGCAAGGTGGTGTAGGTTAGGCCCAGGGATATTTTAATGATCGTATGCCGCCAAAATGTTAGCTTATGGCCTTAATGAAGTAACATTATTTTTGTACTAATTTAATTCAATTCAAGATCCTACTCCACCTGATCTTTCAAAACGGAGTAGAGGTCTTCCTCTTCCTGTGCTTCCATCGCTGGGTACAGCATTGAACCTTTCATAGCTGGAGTTATCTCATCTATCCAAATCACATGACCAGGTCAGCGTAGCCGCTGTTTCTTGATTAGCGGATCTATGTAAATGTCGCCGTATAACTCATACAGCTCATCATTTCATCGGCTTTGGTATTCACCATTGCCAATCCGTATATATCCTTAAATCTTCCGCATAACCTTATTCTTCGACATTTATAACTCTGACTCATCAGATGTTGTCATTGTTAAAAGCGCTTGCACCATATAGCAGGGCGAGAATGATTAGTAGCTCTGTTAGTACTGCTTCCAAGACATTTGCGAAAGGCTGTATCTTTTCTATACAGCTCTGCAGCTCGCATTATTTTCTTGAGCAATAAGTTAAACATTCTTTCGTCTCAATCGATTAAGAGTTTGGGGATAGAACGAATTTTCATTCTTTATTGTTACGTGTTTTTTCTATTAAAAATAGGGGTTTTGTGAATTTCGTTTTTTTAGACCATTCACAAAAGCATTGAAGCCAATTTATTGTTTCTTATTCCTTTTTTGCATGAAATTTTAGACTTTTATCATTGTTTTTGCTTTAAAGAAAATACGCTAGTAAAAATTTTGTAAGCTACCCCAAAAAGAAAATCCTGTCTTCGGGCCTGAATACTAGTATATTTCCAAATTCTGTGCAGTCAAGTAAGTGAAGTGTAATCAACAATTCTCACTTGTGCTTGCCTTAAGAGTTTTTCACGAAAATGTTGCTGACAATTAATTAATATAAATTGAAGTATCCACGGCTCGACGGCTTGCGCGTGGCACCATATATCGCAAGCTGTCTGTGTAATTGCAGCTTATAGGATGATACAAGAAATTAATATTAAACAAGCAAAAGCAAAGGCGTGTATACAGCTGAAAATAAAAAATAAAAGAACACGACAAAAACAGCAAATTGAAACTATAGAAAATACTTTATTTAAGAGTTTTCAATCCTTTCAGCCTTTCATGTAGTGACTGTCCAATACTTACATACTTATCCTTTTATCCGCAGATATCAGCACGGCACTCAACAATGTGAGCGTCTCTATACCGTCGGCCGTGAAACGTGGCGATAATGCCATCTTAATCTGCAATTACAACCTGGAATATGACAATCTATATACAGTTAAATGGTATCGCGGACGTCGTGAATTTTATCGCTACACGCCGAAGGAGAATCCAGCGTTGAAGATATTTCCGGCTAGTGGCGGTTATACGGTTGATGTGAGTAAAAGTAAAAAAAAAGCCTATAAAATTTTTTTTTTTTTCGAAAAAATTCTACATAAATACGTGCATATATACTTATGGTTACATACAAAGTAGTTAAGAGCGAGAGTAATTATATTAAACGAACAGCTCGTAGCCGATATGCGAGTACAGACACACTTATGTATGTATAAACGTGTATGTATTTATATTTATAGCCCTTGTCGAACACGTCTACTAAGTAAGTTGAAAATTAATTTTTCTTTAGTTGCACATTTAAAATTTTTCTCACGATGCAGACAAATTAAAAATACATAGGTAGCAATCTGAAATAAATTATTTTTCTTCGAAATTTTTGTTTTCTTTAATTCGCCCACGCGATGGCCTTGTTTTATTGCTTCTGGATCGTCCTTTCTTCTCTCCGCCTGAATTTGCGCAAAATTAATATAAAAAATTTTAACGCAACAACGATGTACATATACTTTATTTGAGAATAAATAAAAAACGACGCCAATAATGTGCCGTCACTTTTTCCATTTTAGTGGTTTTAATTTTTGCTGCGCTTCTTCTCATACGCGCTGTGCTCTGCAATCGTTTTTCATTAAAAATTTCTGGCGCGTGCCGCAGTATTTCAACTTTAATTACGCTGGCGCGTTAAAACACGGTTTGTGGTTTGAAGACTTTTCATACAGTAATGTTATACATATATATAAATACGTTGGATAAGCAATGAAATTTTTATTTCAAATTAAAGATTTATTTGAAAATTCTTATTTTATGTCTCAATAATATAATTTGGCGAGAGTGAAATATCTAAGAATACAAGTGACATAAATATCTTTTAATTCATCAGGATACAATTTTTTGTAGTTATTATTTTATGCAAAATGGTTTTTTAGGTCAAGGGGACTTTGTTAACCATTTGTCATTCAAGTATACTTTGAAATTGCGGGTCTTTTCAGTTATTTGACATTGAAATTGTTATTAAAAAACTAAGGAGGAGCTCAGCTGAAAAACACTGAGCTTATTTTGAAGTACAAACCAGAAGGATTTAGATATTATAATGTATGTTAACTTGATTAATGTATCATAAAAAGTCCTTGGTGTGCTGAAAAGTCCTTCGGGTCTACACCCAAAAATAATTTTTTTTGTTAATAATTGAATTTTGATAGATTCCCTCTGCTTCGCTGTTCCTTACCACAATATGGCTTCTTAAAAATAGATTATATCCGTCGTTAATTTGTTAAGCTCAAACGTATGATTAAAGTTAATTATTCCAAAAAAAATTAATGTTTCAATTCAGAACAATAAGGGGTGCTATTTTGAATGGATTGTTATTCTGGTAGCTGCCACTTTTAAAGCTGTATTTTTTTGACGTTTAACAAATTTAAACAACGGAAAGATGCACACTTCAAAACAAGCGTTGAAATTATGAAAAATTCAATATAAAAATTTTATCGAGAAATCATCTAGACTGATGAGTCCCATTACCCCCCCCGATTTTATTCTTGAAACCCATTTCCATCCTCAATGCGACCTCTTCCTTTGTCCACACCAAAAAAAAATCAAATTCGTATAGGCATATAGCAGCCACTTTGCGACTTGGAGACGGAAAATTTCATAAAACGGATACAGTTTGGTAAGCGTAACCGTGGTTACCACTTAGCTAATTTTGCTTTCTATCATTAATGGCATGTCTTCCTGTCGACAGATAACTTATTAAAAAAATCCACTTTTCTTTGAATATTAAAATAATTCTTCGTATTGGAAAGCCCGTAAAATGCAATCTATAAAATAGCGAGATAAAAAAAATGTTTCTTTTCTATTTATTTCAAATTCATTAATATGAATTAATATTAATAATTAAGTTTCCTAATTATTGTATATATGCAATGTACAATTGGCACTTTGTTACCCCTAAAGTTATTTTCGGCCGCTTGACGTTTCTATCAAAATGGAGGAAACTGAGCCTCCTCCAAATGATCGATGGATTTTTATTAACAGATTCTATTATGTTATACTGGGGGGCAAAAGGTAAGGCGAATGTGTTTGTAAAATGAAAAATCTTTATTTATTCTTCTACATCGACTTCGTCGCCTTCAAAATAGTCCCCTGCCTCAGAGAGCGTGCCGAGCCAGAAGTCACATGTTGCTAAGTCCATGTCTCATTTCCTGTAATCATGAATTTCAGCTTGTCCGACCCTCTTTGAAGTCTTTGTACCACTTTTTCTGCGACATAGTTAAGTGGCCAAAGACTTTCTGTAGTATTCTCAACGTTTCAGCAGCCAAAAATTCGTTCCGCAAACAAAATGCTTTGCTCAATTAAATCAGACATCATAAAAAATGCCGAAGGCACTTTTAGTTGTTTAGTAAACACAAGCGTAACTAAAATACCAATAATGACATTGTAATGAAATTTGGCGAAGATGTCAATAACAGTGTTAGCTACATTGAAAAAAAGACTAAACCCCAAGCTCAAATCAAAGATTGACCTTATTTCTTTCTTACGATGTTATCTAAGAACGATAATGACAGTTCCACCGTTACAGGGACCTTAAACCATCTATATCCCCCGAAATAATAAGAGGAATGTTTTAACTTAACTCAAAATGAAAATATTGGCGGAAATGGTGGTGTTTATAATGTCGTTGATTTTGACGCTATGAATTTGGAGTAATGAAGTGTATTTATAGATACTTCTTTCGAAAAAAATAAAATAAAACTGAAATAACAACAAATAAATTAAATAAACTCTGTTTTTATTATTAGATAAAGTAAGGTCGCATGCATTTCCGAAAAAAAGTCTCACCACTTCGCTTATTTTAAAATAATTTATTGTATATGATAAATATAGGAGCGTAAATCTTTGCATACTTTTAGGCGTTGGCTAATTGCTTTCTGCTACTTAAGTTTTTATCTTTTGGCATATACATACATATGTATACATATAAATATGTGTTTTCCATCCACGCATAAAATTTATCTTCTCCTAGAATGGGTTACGCTAAATTTTTGATACGAGTCTAGTGCTCACCTTAATACTCTTAACGTTCTGCGACAAAATTAAATAATTTTGGATTCTTTTTATATTTCTGATTGATTACCCGTAAATTAAAAGAAACAGATAATGTGACACTTATATCACATCAAAATGAAAGAAGTTTATAATCTTTTTTTTATATATTTTCAAACTACAATTTACTATGCACGTTATCCATCGGGTAATGTATAAAATCTTTGGTAATTAACAGAGATTCTTCATAAGTGGATACAAAGACTGTCTCCAGTGGAGTACTGCATGAGTTCTTCACTCGACATTGTCAGTTCACCCTCTATTTTTGGTGGGGGAAATCTCATCACACAGTCTATAGCGTATACGTACATATCTCCGGCTACAATTCCTATTTATCATCGTATTCTTAAACGTTAAACTCTGTTCGCCCAAATTCGGGTTTTTTAAAAAATTTCGCAAAATTACACATATCTAAACAGAAAAGTAGCTGGATAAGTCCAATTCATTAAAATTGTTAAATACTTGTAAAAATTGGATGAAGATTTCCACGACAGTGGAATGCAACTTCTAAACTTATATTTGAATTCCTGGTTAGGGTGATCTTTCGACCCTCATTTAGCTCTTATGATTCAAAATTAATTTTCTATTACACCTTAGCTTAAGAGATTATATCCATTATCTTGGCGATAAAATTAGTGTCATTTGGATAGGTCGCACATGTAAATAATAAACATACATATTTATTTTCACAACCAAACTCTAACACACAACTCTTCATTCTTTAACATCATATGTATGTATATTCACAATACTAGCAGCGCGCCTCACTTTTTGTGGCTTTTTGTATTTTGTCCAATTTTTAGTCTAATTCAAATTATTTCGTTGATCAACTACTTATTTTTATTTGTTGGTCACTTCTTTGCTACTCAAAGTTTCTCAAGAAAATATCAAAATTGATTGAGCCAAACGCACCATTCTGATGTATTCCTATTCACACTAAATAAACCACAGAATAATGAAAATCCGAAGCGAACATACAGAATATTTCAAATAGGTTGATCCGGATCCAGGAGAAATGATTTCTAAGCAAAAAGAAATAAAAAATTGTACATTTGGTTTGATTAAGTAAATCAAACAATTAATACGATTTTTTAGTTGCTGGTCCACTTCCCAGAAAGAGAAGAGTAGTATTCCTGTAAATTAAAACAAAAAGCCACTTATGTACAGAACTTCAAGTACATCTAATCATAAATAATATTTTTTGAATAAGTAGGCCGCTGGTCTGGAAAGTGGAGGGAAGAGTAGTCATCCGGCAAATCTAAGTAAATATCCATCTTTGTCGACTTTGTAAAAAGCTTTCTAGGAAGCTTAGAAATAACATCAACATGGCAATTATAATAAATAATATAAATTATTTAAATATCTGTTTCGTTATGCAAAATATTTATTGAATTAATTATGTAATTAATTTTCAATTCAAAAAGAACATTTAGTATTGTAGGAAAATTTAAGCATATCTGATGATGAAATATAATAAAATGAAAATACGAATGAAGAAAGTGTAAGGATTTTAACAACCTTTTCATCTTTCATAACTCTACCATACATTCTTTTTAAAACAATTATAACGTTTAGATAAATTTCACAGTAATCAAAAAATTCCCATTATTCGCATGAAACATTTGAAAATATCATCATCAGGCAGTTATCAAAATAAATTTTATTTCATGTTTACCCGAAAAGAAATTCTGTCGTTAATGTAAAATCGTTAACAGGCAATGTTAAATCGTTAACAGGTAATGTTAAACCGTTAACAGGTAATGCTAAATAGTTAACAGATAATGTTAAACGTAAAAAATTAGTGTAATTTTAATACCATAGCAAGAAGCCATTTTAAAATAAAAGTTAGATAATATGACGCCGAAACGAAACAAAATAATTACGCTAAGTTTATTTTTCATTTCAACACTAGTTTAATATGTTGGACGAATACATCATTGAAATGATTATATTGATTTTATAATTTTAAAATAAGAAACAACTTAACTAAGGGGACCCTCCCCTGATTTTGGATCAAAAAATTGATTTATTTACGCCATTATTAATAGAGTATGTGCTTTAAGGGATTTTCCTATACGATGAATATTTCATCAATGAAAAAACTTTGAACACGTTTTTCTTGAAACCATGTTTTCCGATATATCTTTTTTTTTAAATAATTGAAGTCAAAAAAGTAGAAAAAAATTTAGCTTTAAAATTGTTTCAAATGAGGTTCAGAATGTAAGAAATTTGATGATCTTCAAGTAATGACAACGATTTTCGATTTCAGTCTATTACAAGAGAATATTGGTTTGAATTTGTTGAGCCATTTTTTTTCGCGCAGAGGCCGGCAAAAATTGCCGTCATTTTGAATTTTGAATATTTTTCTGCTATGTTAAAATTAAAAATAATAAACAAATTTAGTAGTTAAAACCGGAAGTTCGTACGCCTTTTCATTCTCCCACAAAAAATACAAACTTTGTGTGATTTTTGCCTAATATCAGGGACGGTCATAATAAAAATATTTAATTACGTTTAATTAAAAATTAATTAATACGTTTCAGGTAATAATAAAAATTAATTATTTTCTTTAAATAAAAGTCTGGTAGAACATCGACCAAGTAAGTCTTAGACCTTATCTTTCTGTAAGGAATCCTGTAAGGAAGCTAGATACTCATGTAAAAAGAGCTTTTTGTTAAACATGATCGTACAGATCGCACTTTTAGCTTAATATTTAAAAAGTGTTTTTTTTTCTGTGTGATGATTTAATATCAGAAAATCACAAAAACTATTTATTAGTAATTTTAAAACTAATTAATAATTTGGCTTATTACACAAAGTTACAAATGGTTTTTTTTTTAATATAAATTTATTTAATTTTATTTTATTTTAATTTTTTGTTTTCAGATGACTGAGTCGAATGCAACACATGTCTTCATCAGAAATCCCACATCTGGCAAATACAGTTGCGAAGTCTCAGCCGATGCTCCATCGTTTGATACATTCTTTGTTTCAGGGGAAATGGAAGTAGTTGGTAAATGACGAAGACTTATTGACATACTTATATATTTCTAATACTTTTTTATTGTTTATTGAATATATTATTAACGATTCACTTATCTTTTATTTACTTTTATTTGAATATGTGTTACAGAATTGCCCACACAACGTCCGGTTATAACAGGAGTTCATTCACGTTATCGTCTTGGTGACATTATCAATGGCAACTGCTCATCAGATTTTTCAAAGCCTGCAGCGAATTTAACTTGGTGGATCAATGATATGCAGGTGAGAACTTTTAAATATGATTTCTTTTTAATAGAAAATCTTAAAAAAAGTAAGTTAATTCTGACTCGTTTCCACTCGTTTGTCTGTATTAAAACCTAATTAGGGAGAGCTTTAAATAATTAATTAATTTCTAGCACTTTTTTTCATGTAATTTATAGCGACTGTTGAGTAAATCTATAACTATTTAGTGTAAGAGGCAATTTAAACCGTGACCTCCTGCGATCGGTCTCAGATCCAATGCAGTGCGGATTGTCACTGGTTTTCGGTCACAGGTCTATTCCGATTATTTTTTAGGCGCGCCCCTCGGTATGTTGAGCGGGAGGTGAATAAACCTGCATTCGTCGTCGTTAAAAAAAATAATATCAATGTCCTTCACAGTGTCTTGTGTGATTAGTGTATAATTTAAAAAATTATTTTTTATACTTTGCCTTTCCTTCAGACAAGTTACCACACTCACCCCCTTCTTCATAAATGCTTAATGTGTGACATTCAATTACTTCAATATTATTGCATTTTTTGCTTCTGATAGCTGCTGTGAGTGCGCTGATGTTACACATTTTCATTACAGTGTCGCATAAATCAAATCAGAGGCGGAAAATCAATGGCATTGCAGTACTACTACAGTTGTTCACCTCCCCGCGGCTTAACCATTATTTCGCTTCCACTTTACGCTACTCAGCCACTCAAACTAGCGACATTGGAAAAGCTAAGAGCCAATCAAATTTCACTTCGCATGCTTATAGCGACGACAGCTAACTTACGAAAGGAATGCTGAAGGGCATCGTTACAGGATGCGAATCAACTCCCTCGAAAGAAGGAAATTTCACAAAAAAAAAAAAAACAAAAAAAAAATATATTCTTAATGAATGTTCCACTTCTGAAATTCCACCATATAGCTCTTCACTTCCACAAAGTGAGCAGCTATCGCTTGAAAACATACGTTGCAACTTACAGCAAAAATTCAATTTGAAATCAATATTGGCTAAAAGTCATTTTGCCCAAATGGACAGCAAATGCCAGCCATTCCAAGCGTCAAACAAATCTACTACAACAACAGCTATAACAACAATACATAATGTAAGTAAAAAGTGCAATAGCAAAACATAAAAACCTTGAAATATTGTTGGCACAAGCAAGGCAAAAAATGGGAAGCAAGCAGTGTGTACGATCCAAACTGCGAAAAGCAATGAAATGAAAAAAAAATGTACCAAAACTCTGAACAGATTTATGAAATGTCGAAGAGAATGGAATGCCAAAGTAGCCACAAGCCAAAACTCGTAGCTCAGAAACTCAGAGAGTAGTAGTGGGTTGCAGAAATGTCGCCTGAAATCTCGGTCATGGTGTGAGCATGCCGAAAGTGACATATGTTTGCAGTTTTGCCAAAGTGGTTGGGTTGCCTGCGGGTTGCGGGTCACCCTTAAGACACCTACGCAATTTCGACTAACTTCACCGCAAGACATTAGTAGTTTTTTTTTTTCGAATATTTTTTCGTAGTTTACAAAATTTCCTGCAAGATGTTGTAAAGGAGTGTGACTATTTTCATTTCATTTCGTACTTTAGGTACAGTCGTTATTTACATAAAAATGTGTATTCACAAAAATCTAATTAATTTCGATCAGAAAAACTTTTGAATACGTTTCAGAAGGGCTTTAATTGAGTTTCTTCTGAAACGAATTAAACGTAAGTTAACAAAAAAAAAATGTGGCACACATAGAAAATATATAAACAAAGGTTAGGTTACGGTGGCTACCGATCTAACAAACCGGATTCATTTAGGCCTGACTTAGACCCCTTGTGATACCACAAAACCTTAAACCATCAGGCTTCATCCTCCATCCATTTTGATTCTCTAATGAACCTCATTTGATCCATGACAGCTATCTTCGATAGACAACTAAGCAGTAGGGTCCCAAAATTACGAAACCTCGCCCTGCTCGCATCCTCCTTGCAGCTTCTGCAGCATCTACTGTGGGGAGCCATTAATTTTTCTATGTGGAGCCCTATCAGACAGTGGCTTGTCAAACTTCATTATAACTTTAGCAGCATCTTCTATAGGGAGCCATTAGTCTTTCTACGTGGAGCCCTATCAGACAGTGGCTTGTCAGAACTGATTATAACTTTTGACATGTGGCCTCGTTTTAAGGAGTACATATCTCGTTATCTAGGTTTTGCAGCAGGTTGTGATGTAATTCCAGCTTGTAGTGGGTTGTTCATATATGAATTCCTTGAGAAGCAGTTTGCTGTAGCAAAAGTTATACCAATGCGCCATCGAGGTTCAATGAAATTTCAGATCATTCCCATACATTACAAGGACACAGTCAGCAAAGGCACGATGTTGTTGATGTTCGGACAGCTTGAATTCTTGTGTTAATTAAACTCTATAAGCCTTAAGATCTAAGTCTTAATGCAAAATATTGTGTGATGACGCATGTTGGATGCCTAATTACAGAGAACAACGAACTTTTTTGGTTACAACAGCAATATTCTCAGTATTTCTTGAGCGATGTGTACCTGGTTTATTCTTCCCAATACCAACTTGTCCCAACAGCTCCACAAACTCTTTATAGCGGGCCGACATGGTGCTTCACGACGACCGAGAAATTTTTATCGTGAATTTGAATTATTTCACTGCATTGTTGAAGCGTGTATAGTTCCATTTTTATTACTTGCGTATTTTTACTTGTCAGATGCCAAAAAATTACGACTTTCCTTAATATTTGTTTGCGATTTATGTTTTTGATTTAGGCCTTTTATATATGTCTTTATTCGTTCGTAGTTCAAAAGAAAAAAGAGAGTGGTGCACACAAACTTAACTGTTACAACCAACATCCCTCCAGTGTTTGTGTTCGGTTTATATACTCGTACAGAAAAATTATACTTTTCTTCCGGAGAGTGTTTTCGCTTTCATCTTAGGTGCTGCTCTCAGCGGGAAGAAAGTCTGCAGTATCAATATCAATTGTCGTCGATGAATCCTGATTTTAACCTGCCGATTGATTTTATCAACATATTGTTTCCGAAATCCTGTGAGTAGCGTTTGGATGGCTTTTGGGATGGCATTTTATTACTGGTGATCAAACTGCAACGTTTCGTATCGAATTCATCACACATTTGAATTCTCAAATAGATTCAAAATTTGTTTGGATCTGGTTTCAGCTCGAAGAAAAATTCTGTTGGTAGCCGTAAACTCTTGAGGTAGACCGAAGTCCAAAGTTGATTAGTGGTCATTTGACTGACTAGTTTTGTGGGTCTTTACATCAGACGTCTCAGACAATTGCACGACAGACGAAATAGCAAAAGAAGTAACCTTTCTACAGATGATAAAACATGCACACGATGCTGGTTTACCTCTGTCCACCTGGGAAGCTGACTCAAAATGGTTGAACAAGATCACATGCAATGTGTTGGACGCGAAGATATTAAAATATCTTATTCTTTTAGACCGGTTCTCCATTAAAGTAACGACTGGATACTAGTTAATGGGGGAAAAATAATGGGCTATCACTCTAATAATTGTTGTCACAGCTCTAGGTACGAAAAACGAGGAGGAGACCATCGAGCATTACTTATGGCACTGTCCAGCCTTGACATCTGTGCGACACAAGTTTCTTGGAAAAAAATTTCTTCGACTGAGTTAGCCTGAGAAAGTTAAGGCAGGAGCCTAAGCGGTATCTCAATGGGCGTGTTCGCCTAAGTGTGCTGGCATCAACCCAGCTCAATTTAAGTGTACGATGAAACCGTTCCACAAATCTATTGGTTTGCGCATGGTATGCCATGGTGCGTAGATAACATTTGCATATTCTTATACTGAATCACCCTTGGTCTGTTATAGTTTTCGAAAGCACTTCTCAGTTGGTGTAGTTGCGATGGTTTCGGCCATCGTGTGAATCTGTTAACGAATCTGTCATTCGAAGTTATGTAGTCGAAACGTGATTCTGTTGCGTCATGTTTTTCACTTTTGGCAAAAAATGCACTCTCTTGCCCAAGCTGCAACGTTATATTTAACCAGACAATTCTATCCTTGATGATCGTCGTTGTAGTGACAATGCCGGGATGTGAAATGTTGTAGGTAGCGTTGAATATACGTGTATTCCTTCGGCAAGGCATCGGAATAAAAGGTTTGCATTTGTTGTTTATTATATATATATAAAATTGGCGCTTTGTTACCACTGAAATGGAGGGACCTACAAGTTATACTTAGCCGCCTCCGAATGGCTGAGGGGGTTTTTAACGAGAAACTTTCATATCCGAAATACACTTGGAGGGGGCGGCTTCAATTAGATTATTTATCTTAATTAATTTTTTATTTAAACCAATTTTCCCTAACTTTTAGATGTTGGTGGCGCCGTGATATGAACCCGAGCCTTCCGAATGTCTGTACGCATGGCTAACCACTCGGCTACCGCGGCCGTTTGTTTTTTATTGTTAGACAATAAATTTGTTGTCGAGTTTTGGAAAGCTCTCTAGTCCTTATAGTAAATACTTCAGCTATCACCTCTTATTAGAAAACCCTTTACTTTTTTACCTCGATCTCATACATTTTTATTTATTGATTTAATAATGAAATGCTTCCAAACGAAAAAGTTGCAAAAAGTAAAGTGTTGTCAAATAAGAAATTACGATTTTATTTGCTTTTAATAATTAAGAATCTTCTTGTCTAGCAATTTAAGTGTGCACACAATGCAATTCAATTAAAAAACAAAAAAAAAATTAAAATAAATAAAATTCAAGTAAATAACCCAAAAGTACTTATAAAATTTCCAACAATAATTCGATTAACACATACAATTCCCAATAATATAAACCTCAACAAAAAATTTAAATATTAAAAGTGGATTTGTTTGAATGCCTCGAAGTAGAACGCAAGAAATGGAGTGTGCAAGGCGGCATGTGGCAAGCATCGTACTGCTACGTAATGCTGCGCATTGAAACGAAATGAAAGTTTATTGATTTATGCATTTGTTGGCAAACTCAAATTGAAAATTTCAGCTTTTACTACGTCAGCGCCGCAAATTTTTATTATTATAATTTTTTCTCAAAAGTGCTTCAACTAAATTATATTTTGCGTATGTGTGTGTATACACACCACACTTTAGCGAAGCGGAAGTTGCACTTGAACGCTCAGTTATAACGGTAACTTGTAATGCAGGTACCTGTAGCCACTTGAGCGCTGATTGCGATTTCTGTTTTCACTTCCGATTTGCGACACCGAAGACGCAGACTTTAGTTGCGTGTACGCTCCTCCTTCTCCTCCTCGTCCTCCTTCGTCCTATCTTTTGCCTTCTGTGTGACAACTCTTGAGCAACTTTTCAGCTTTCAGCTCTAAAAATATATATATATTTTCACTGAATACACAAGCAAAGCTAACACATACACAAGCATAGACTTACTTGTATATACAGATTTTGCAACTTCACTTATTCCTTACGCACACACATTCTTTCTTAAATGCACGCTTACATGCATATAAATTTACTTACATACATACACATGTACAATAGCTGGCATAGTGAATGCAGAAATTCTCAACTTTACGACTTTGCTCGCAAATCAACAGAAAATTCGTTCATTTCTGGTTTTTTATTAGAATTACTTTTTTTTGTTTTTTTTTTTTATTTTTTTTTTTTTTGTGACTTTGCCAAGTGTTAGTTGCACACAAACATACAGAAGCAAACTGCCTTTAATATAAACACAATCACACCCACTCCCGCGCACACACAAACACACTAACACACAAATTCTTACACTTTTGCCCTTTGCCAGCAGTAAATGCGGGCTGATGCGGGCGTTTTTGTCGTCGTGTTGAGTTGTCGAGTAGTCGAAATTACATCGCATTAGGTGGGCGTCATTCTTTTGGAACTAAGCTACGAATAAATGGGTGGAAATTACATAACCTGCCAGGTCGTATATGTGACAAAGTAGTTTTTGAGTACATAGAGCAGTTGGTGCGTTGGATGTGCTTGATTTAAAGCTGTAGTGAGTGTAAAATTTGTGTTGTAATTTCCTTCAACTGCCATGATTTCAAAATTTGACTCATAAAAACTTCAAGTCAGGAACTTATTTGCAACCTAGAGACGAATATAGTTACTATTTTTACAGTATTTATATTTTTTATTACTGTAATTTAAGTAGATTTTACTAATGAGTACAATGATGTTTACAGCCTATCTCTTACACCTCTCTACCGTTTTCAGGTGCCACCACACTCAGTGCGTACATTTGGTATTCAACGTCATTTTGTGGAGAATCTTGAATCCGCTGTGTTGGAAATCAACTTTATTGTCACATTGCATCATTTTATCAAGGGTCGACTTAAGGTAAGCACGAGTGTTATTAAGCAGTAAAGGAAATAATTTTTTGGTATTCAAATGATATGGTTTCTAATTTTAATCCCCCTTATTTGCAGCTGAAATGCTCTGCGCATATTTACGATATTTATGTGCAAGAGGCAGAGAAGCTTATTGAAGAAGATCGTCCGCGTATCTTGGCCTCAGGCCGTTCACCAGAACTGAATATATACCCCTTTGATCACTTGCCGAGCGCAGAAGGATTTGATGAACATAATGAGTTATATTTAACGCATAATAACAGTAAGTGTTATCAATAAGTTTGCTGCTTATCGATTTTCTCTTAAATACTCAAAATGGTAATATATTAAAGTTAGAACCTGGTATACTCTGGGTAAAAACTTAAAAAAAGAGAGACGAGAAACTTAAGTGTACATATTTTTTAAGTAGTATTTTACTTATTGTGTTATCATGTTAAAGGTTCAGCCATAACAGACAAGGTTATACATTAGGGCGGGTCGAAAATAAATGTAATTCATTTAAAATAATTTCTTTCATGAAATACGATATATAACACAATTCATAAATCTCGATACGTACCATGTAATTTTCGCCCAATTTGATAGAACATATAGGGCGTTACCAAAAGTTTGGTCAGTTGGTGACTTTCAATTCGACTTTACTTACAGTCAACAAAATATTCAGTGAATTCCAAATTGCATATGGAACGACTGCACTGTCTTTAGTAACTATTTCTAAGTGGTTACGAAGTTTCCAGACCGGAAATTTTTCCGTTGAGAGCGAACCCCGAAAAGGTCGACCAAAATCTTTCACTTACGACGCGCTGGTGAAGTCCAAAACTGTCGAAGACCCAGTATTGACACAAGAACTGATTGCTAATGCATTGAAATTGAATCGCGAATATTAAGTTATCAACTGGGATATACTAAGAAATCTGCTCGATGGGTACCACGAATATTAAAGGAAGTCCAAAAAATACGCGAGTGATTTTGCTCTATTTTTCGTAAGCAGATTCGTAAATGGTCAGTCTAGCAATTTAAGTAAAGTCGGTACTGGTGACGAATCTTGCTTCTTTAAGTACGATCCAGAAACCAAGCAGCAGTCCATGGTATGGAGCCCAACAGGAGCAAACCCACGCGTAAAATCTTAGCAATAAAAATCAGCAGCAAAAGTAGTGATGTCAGTTTACTTCACCCGGTCTAAAATCTTAGCTGCTTTCGACTGGAAAAGGGTCATGAGGAAAGTGAAAAATGATATAAGGAAGAGTGCTTACCTAAAGTTTTGAAAAGTTTGTTGGAAAATGGGAAAGAAGTGGAATTGCGGCGCTACTTTTTACATCATGACTACGCGCCGTCTCACACTAAATAATGAGTACTTTGATTGCGATTTCTGGAATGAAAAAAATACATCGAGCACCATATTCCATCCAGCATAGCATCTTGTGATTCTTGGTTAATTTCAAAAATAATAAAATAATTTGAAAAATCGGTCTTTAATAGCAACGAGGAGATAATTCAAGCTGCTAAAGATAAATTTGATAAGCTTAAAAGCTACATTGTGAAGATTATTTTCGGAAGGCGATCTATAGGATTAAGAAATGCATTAAAATCTATAGTAAGTATGTTGAGAAAATAAAAAAGGACAAATATTACGAGTAAATGCAAAAAAGAATTGGTCTGTGTTTTCGTATTTATGTATTTGGACGGGTATGATGAGCGACATGTTGAGTTTTTGTTTGTAGAGAGAGAGGATTTTACTTATGAAATGCCTTCTCATTCGAAAGTGTCCTCTGTTAGTAAAAGTGATTATATTTATTACTATTGGCGTTAATGTTAGTCCCTTTTTGACTGTCAGTAGTGCCGTGGGGCCAAGCCGTGTTTCTGGTGTTGCCCAGCGTCAGTTTACACAAACGCGAAACTATTGCGGGGATAACAAGTCCAAGCACACCAGCGTATAGGCTCTCTCCAATATATGGGGCATGGTAAATATCAGTTCAATGGTTTATTCGTATGAAGTCATACTGATAAGCTCGGATCAGATTGTTGACGGTGGACCTTAGTATTTCACACAATTCGATTGGACCTTATGTGCATGCTGATGGCTGCTTGTCAGCTCTTCATAGTTATGTTGAAATAGCTCAGCAGGTAGGCCATTAGCTCCAACTGCTTTGTTGTTTTTCAAACGGGGAATCGCAGTTCGAATCTCGTCGGAGTCGGGTAATGGAACGCTTTTCCATCATCGATAGGCATTTCGGGCTCGCCATCTCAAGCTTTTGCATTTTTACTGCCATTCAGGTGGCTGGAGATTTATTTCCTCCATACATTAAGTGTGATCTAGACATCGATCACCAGACTTCCACATGAGTAAACTTCAGTTTTCAAACCAAGTGGCTCTCTTATCCGATTTTTTCATTTGATGGGTCCCAACCCTTCCCAACTACAAGGGAATTCGCAAACTGACTTTAGCTAATCTCCAAATGAATGTTTGTTTGCTTCGCGCGTTCTTCATTTGCAGTAAAAAAAAGTCAGTTATCATACGACTACAGCGCTCTGTTGTCGTTTTCTAAGACAGTTAATTTTTTTAGGAGTATTCGTCTCTCATTGGAATCTCAATTCCACCATCCGTTCATATGGAAGTGTAACTTCAAGTGAAAAATACGCCGTAATGCCATGTATGAAAGTGCGATCTCCTGAGAGTGTCAAGAAATATACACATTGGGGTCGTCGGCTACACTTGCACTTACACTTGCGATTTTTAAAGTAAAATGGTCGAGACGATGATTCGCAAGCTTTACAATACCTGTCTCTTCAAATTTCTTTAAAATTTTACCAATTGCTTGCTTTGCACCATAATCTCCTCTTAAAGCACGAAACGAATAAAACATTTTTGGTTTGAGAGTTAGGTTTGATAGATATAAATATATTCACGAAATAAATAACCCAATGCTGAACCGTAATGAAAATGTTTCGTTGAACCAAATATTTCCATCTTTTCGGTTGAAACATCTCGTTAAAACAGTTATCAGAATAAGTTTTATTTCTTTTTTACCCGAAACGAAAAGCTGTTGTTAATGTTAAATCGTTAACAGATAATGTTAAATCGTTAACAGATAATGTTAAATCGTCGAAGTATGCTGTTAATGAAACAAGCAGACATTTTAACATTAACCATTTCATTTCGTTTCGATAACATTGCGACGAATCGAAACAAATTCATTACGTTATTTTTAGTTATAAGTATTGTTTGCATGAATTGAATATATTGTTTTACAACAAAGCAAAATGGTGAAAGTGACAGCTGTTTCGGAGACCACCACATTTTCTTATTGGACTTCTTATGGAAATAATCGAATAGTTAGCTGAGCATCTTGGGATGGCCCTTTATATGTTATTTTGATTTATATATTCCTTGCATTTTTGTCGTTCACCACAGCAGAAACAAACTTCTTCTATTGAGTCAAAGATGTTGATGCTATTAAAGCTATTAGGTTTAACTTAGTGCTAAATACTCAAATAAAATAGGAATTAAAAAAAATGCAAAACAATAACATTTTCAATTACCTCCCTTTTATCAGATTTTGTATCAGATTATAGTAAATTTTATTTAAGCTTATGAATATTTCTACATATCAGCATACTCGTAGTCTTTAATAACTAAATATATGATTTTGTAATTCATATTGAACGTTAAAACAGAGTATTGCTCAACTCAGCAATTTCCGGACCCATTTAAATGCCTATCATAACTCAATTTTTGGGGTAGTTTTCTTTGTTAAAAAAATTTTCCTACAAATATTGCACTCGATTATAAGCATAAATAAATGTATGCATAATTAGCTGTTTATACATTTTGAAAATCATTCATTTCGAAAATGCATAAAACTATGAGTAAACAAAACTAATGAGTTGTGAAAGATGTAAATGAAGACTGTTTAAATTCAAAAAGAGGGACGTTTTGTAGGTTGCAAATGTGAGTTGAAATAAAGGTCTGGAGCCGAAGCTGTGAAGCGGAGAAGAGACTGTTAAGTGAAATTGTATGGATATAAAGTGAGCAAGGAAGGAAACATGAAAAGTGAGTTAAAATGTGGTGTAGCGGATAAGCGCAAAATTCTATACTTTAGTTACTTTTAGGATACACATACATACATCTAATGCTATTGAAATATTTATTGTGCTAGGTTGTGTTCAAGCTATTGTTGTTACCATTATTTATGCATATATAGATATTACTGCCACCGGAGGATGCGAGACATTAAAAATCATCTTGATTAATAACCCAACGTTAGTCAAGCATAATATTGTCTAAATGAACGCAAATGTGCAAATATTCGAATGCCACGAATGGTCATGTAGCAACCAAGTACGAATACATATTATTAGCTCGACAGAGTTGTGGTGAGAAAGGAAGTGGTCATTACAGAAGTTCGTGCATACAAACAACATAATGATACGTAAAATGATGTTTAATAGACAAAAGGCAACGGAGCTTTTGCCACAGTGTAGAATCAGTATAAAAGAAATAAATGACTGTTGATGAGGGATCTTCTTAGTGTTGGGTAAGCGAGTGAAGCAAATGAACACTAATATTACATATGAGAAATTTTTGTTTTATTTACTCGTATGAGTATGCTAGCTGTTAGTTGTAAGTGTATCCTATGGCCAGATTATCAATCTTCGATGCTATTACTACATGCTCGCACATACTCAGACAATAAAAATACATATATATAATCGTATACATATGTATATATAATACATATAGGCATAATCTGTTAATCGTATATGTAAATACAAATATATGTAAATGTTTGTATGTAAATAAGTCTGTCAATATTTATTTTGCATAGCAGCTGCTAATATAAAACCAACTTACCCGCCGGCCGTATCACGTCATCCAACAAGAGAAAATAATAAGAAAATCCCATAAAATCTTTTGTCTGATTGTTTTGTAACTGACACGCTACGTTCAGGAGCATAAGTAAAAACATTACGTTCACATCCACGTATACATACATAAACACTAACGCACAACTGAATGCATGAGAATTTGCCATTTACTGTTTTCTATATTAAAGGAGATATGCAGAATGCGAACACCATTACATTGATTAAGTGCCAAGCATTAAATCAAAGTTAGTGAAAAATTTGCTAAAGCACAAATGAATGGCGGTCGCCAAATGGTGTATGGCAGAAAAGGTAGGGACTTAAAACAAAGCGTGGAAAGGAGAAAATGTGAGAACGAAGTGGAAAAGTGTGGTAATGTTTTTTTTTTGTTGATACGAT